TTTGTTGCATTTTCAGCTAAATGTGTTAGAGATGGTACCTCGGTGTCTTGTTCCTACAAGTTTCTGATTTACGTGTGACCTCCTTAAAGAGGTGGGGGGCGGGAGGTAGGGAAAGGAAGTGATTGAAGATAAAGATTTAAAACATGTGGTGATTTGAAGACCATAAAGTGAGGGCTTCTTACTTTAGAGAGCAGTTAAAATTTTGTCTGTCATGATGAAACAGTTGCACTGTGGTCTAAATTGCTCATGTCAAAATATATACGAATCTATCCATCTTCCATCCAGTTGTTAGTTCATTTTTTCCCCTCTTTTTATTTATTTATTTTTTAAAAATAATTTTTATTAAACTTTTTCACATTTAAAAAACAACACATATACACTCTTCTCAGTGGTGTGACATCAACTATTCCAATTAAATCAATATATACATATTTACATTATTTTTTATTCCTACAGTTTAACCAGCGTACCATTTTCCCCAGACCATATAGTATTCCATGTCTTCTCTATCTTGCAATTCTTTTTCTCTTTTTAAAATATGCCTAGTAATATCCAAGGCTGGTATTTTTAAACATATTATTAAAATATTTCAAATACTATACATATATCTCAAAAGGGAACACTTAATCATTGCACTAAATTGGTATATATTCAAGCAGACCATGATTAAGACCCTTAAAAAATATTTATCTGGGTTTAATTTTCCCCACATAATGGCCCTACCAACAGTACATTGCCTTCCTTCAGGCTGGGGATGACTGCAGTTTGTGGTTAAAAGAAGTCAGCAAGACTGTCGCAATGAGAAATTCATCTGGTTTTTATTGGGCATTGGGTGTGATACAGACATTAACAAAGGGCAGAGTTTCATTTATTGATATAGAGCAGTAATAAAACTTAAATTGGAATAAAGTAAACAAAAAAAGAATGACAGAAAAAAAAACACAGAAAAAGCTAAAGATGTAATGAGAAAAGGAAACTGAAAAAATAAAACATAGAAGCATAGGGCTAGCTGGAAGGGACTTTGGTGGTCCTTATACCCTCACTGTCACAATAGGCTTGATGCAGTGACTCTGGGTAGCATACCATATAATAAAAGTAGAAAAAAACAATACAAAGTGATTAAAGTTAGAAAATGTAAATATAAAGCTAATAGGAACTTCCATATTGATGAAGTACTTGGCTTATGCGGGGGAAATAGATAGCAATAGTAGTTAAACTTATATACTGTTTCATAGGGCTTTACAGCCCTCTCTAAGTAGTTTACAGAGTCAGCATTTTGCCTCCAACAATCTGGGTGTCAAGGAAGGAAGGAAGGAAGGAAGGAAGGAAGGAAGGAAGGAAGGAAGGAAGGAAGGAAGGAAGGAAGGAAGGAAGGAAGGTTTACAAAGTCAGCCTCTTGCCCCCAACAATCTGGGTCCTCATTTTACCCACCTTGGAAGGATGGAAGGCTGAGTCAACCTTGAGCTGATCAGGATCGAACTTCTGGCAGTGGGCAGAGTCAGCCTGCAATACTGCATTCCAACCACTGGGCCATCATGGCTTATAATGATGGATTCTCTAGTCTAACTGAATATTTGTATGCTCAATGGGAACACATTTCTCCCAATGGATTCTTCAGAACCCTCAAATGTAACAAAAATTATCATTTTTTTAAAAAATAGCCATTTTCAGATGAGAATACAAGCATCTCAGGAAGTGCTGTCATATAAGAAGACAAGGGAAAGATTGGCCAAATCTTTTGATATTTAGCAGTTTCATGTGCTGTGAAACAAGAAACACACCAAACTTGCAACCCAATGTCGGGCAGAGCTGTGTGTGCAAATAGTTAAGAGGAAGGTCTTTGTTGAGTTGTCAAGACGGCCATTTCAGGTTATTCAACTGGGCTTCAGTTGTAAAACAAAATGTAAAGAAGGCAAAATAGAAGGAGAGACACAGTGTTGGTTGGCCTTGCTCTGTTGACATTCACCCATCCTTGCCTTGAACCAGGAATGGTATGAAGTAGCTTAAAACAGGGGTCTCCAACCTTGGCAGCTTTAAGACTTATGGACTTCAACTCCCAGAGTTCTGGGAGTTGGAAGTCCACAAGTCTTAAAGTTGCCAAGGTTGGAGACCCTTGGCTTAAACTACAGTCAACAAAATTGAGAAAATCCATCATATTGATATTTCAGCTGCTTGAGAAATGAGGTAACTGTTGAGGAGATAAAAACTGGCATGGACAGTGTGATGGACATACAATGGAATAAATATGTCCAAGAGGGGCTTCCCATGTGCTGAATCTCAGCACCATTCCTCCTCTCTCCTTTCTTTTCCATAAATGGTTCACATCCTCCCTCCTCCCTCAGAAGCAAAGAAGTCATAATGAAAAGGGATGTTACTCAAAAGGAAGCATGCGGAGTAGATCTGGTCTTGTCAATATTTCTAGTTCTTAGTCCTACGGAGCTGCAATCTTTAGCTTGGTGAAGATAACAACAAGTCTATTTTTGGAGTGAGAAAACATGCATTTGGAGAATTGTGGTGGCCAGGAAATGAAGATGGGAGCTACCCAAAGCCTCCTCCTTCCTCCTCTGAACATTGGCGGATAATCTGGGGACAGTCATCTGCACGAAATTTAAATTTAGACAGCACCAGGGATCTCAACCCCACGGGAATAAATTAGCTGACTGAGTGCAGGAGAAATATGTCATTGAATGGTGCTTACTTTTTCTTTGGAGTTTATTGAAAGATTCTCGGGGTCAAAGAAACAAAGAGATTGTTGCTTCTGAAAGGGGAGGAAATTCTTGCAGGACATTTCTGGAATTCTCCCACTTGTCAATCCCTTATTTCGTTGCAAGTTTGGTATTCATTTGGGTGTCCGATAAGGAGAAAAGATCATGACATTGACAAAAGCAAGATGGCTGGCCAAAATCTTTGCAGAAATGTCCAACTTATTCCCCGCCTTCTGCTGTGATGTTATTTCAAGACTTACATTCTTGTCCTTAATGAACATTCCAGGGAAAAGCTCCATGAACCCTTAAGTGTCAGAATTTCCCAGAAGCATTTGCTGCTTCAACAAGCTTCTCTCAACTTTGCTTTGATTCACCTAGGACAGGGCTCTTCAACCTCAACAGCTTTAAGACTTGTGGACGTCAACTCCCAGAATCCCTCCTCTGGTCATGTTAGCTCAGGAATTCTGGGAGTGGAAGTCCACAAGTCTTAAACTTGCCAAGTTTGAAGACCCTGGATCTATTCTATCTATCTATCATGATCTATCTATCTATCTATCTATCTATCTATCTATCTATCTATCTATCTATCTATCTAT